CCGTATGTCTGCAGCAACACAGAATGTGTGCTCCTTGGCGTTGGAACCCAATACTTGTTGAATGGTCTGAGTAGCAGTGGGAACACATCAGTTTTTGCATACCTATAAAACCTACCATAGGACCATCCAATTTCTGTTATGTGCGTTTCACTTGAGGAGTAGTAACAAATGTCCACGAAAGGCCAGCCATTGTCCTTGCCACGCAGTTGACGACTGCCGTACACGTCTTCAGATGAATCACTCGGTTCAATTAACTTCGCATAAAGCCTATCCTGATTTTTTCCTTCATAAAATAGGATGTCGGGTTCCATTCTGTGAAACTTCTCCCTTAGTACTGTTCTCACCCCAACGTCCACGAGAACATCAATGTCATCATCCCAGGGGATGATGTCGTGGTGTCGATAGGAGCCGAGCAAGGTACCACCGTAGAGCATCCATCGGTCACTTAAACCGAGTTCCTCCATCGCAGTTATGAATATACCGAACAGGTCCCACAAGGTGCGCATTTGACCGCGACTAAATGTGGTTTGCAGGGGCACTGAACGAATTCCTGGCGCACCCATTGGAAGAGGTAGAAATTCCCTTTCTGGCCAACTTATATTCTCCAGACTCGGAAGTGCTAGACGTTTTTCCTCTATGTGACCACTATTCACCACAAAACCCCGGAATTCCAGTTGTGTCTCTGTCCAGTTGGCATTGCGGCGTGCATTTTTGGGATGTACATTCAACGAATGATATAAAAGCGTGAGGAGGGTAACTGAAATGAAGATTGTGCCGATCAGAATTGTCTGTCGATGATACATTGCGCGTATACTATTTCTAGTGTATTCTGTTCCCAATCCCGGCTTCCTGGTAATTCGAAACAAATTAAATTCCTGTTAGAATATCAAATAATACGCGCAGACTGAATTGAAAGCAAAACTGAATTTTAGAGAAGGAACGTGCAGAGAGGCAACGATGGCCGACACTACGAGCACACGATAAGAAAAACTGAAGAAAAGCCAAAAGCCAAAGCCATAAAAAAATAACTGCCCTCACAAGTCACTAAGGGATAAAGGCAAATATCAGTGGAACTATTACGCAGAACATTATAAACCAAGTAAAATAAGCAGAAATGATTACACAGTACCCGCCAGTGATCCTGCAACATTCCGACACATGCAAATGATTTATATTTACTCACTAATCGGCATTAGCTCATGTTTCGATACTTATAATCGTGTAGTCACCGGGGTGATACATTTTCGCAAGTGGCCGCCCACACATTCGAGACGAGTCACAAGTTCAAATTCGCAGCTGCGAGGATGATTGCCCCCTATACGTTTGGCTTGCTCTCGTTGACGGTTAATTGTCCCCCGACTTTCCGCCTTTATATGTTGCTTGCTTCATTTGACGGTTAATTGGTCCCTTCCCCCTATAAATGTTGCTTGTTGTCGTTGACGGATTTATCTCTGACGATGGACTCCCGCAAGATTTCGCCAGCTCAGACAAATAAAAGTACGATTATGTTGATCGAAACTACTTCTAATTAATGTATAGACATACCTTAGATGCAAACCCTTGCCTCAATTCGTGAAGTTATTTCAGTCCCGATAGGAAAAGGGCTTTTTAACGAGCTTTCTTCTGACCAGTAAAAAACGTATGCATTTTAAAAAGTAACCACGTAATTAGTATGCGCCTTATCATTGATTCTGACTGCCTTTTAAAATTGATAGGAGGTTTGACAGATTTCCTGTATTTGAGCTGACCAAATTGTGGTAAATCTCGAGGCCTTCGGCGGCATTTGAAATCGCGTAGTAGATAAGTCCTTTTTAGAAGCCAAAGCTCTAAACACAGAGCTACAGTAGATGCACTATCTCGTGAAATATGTTCAATTACCTAATAAAGGTCATTTTGCGGGAAGTCGGCACAGGTGGCGTGCCCCCAAACTATGATAACAGTAAAGTAAAAACCATAATTAGAACTAGTCAAAGTTTAATTGAGAAATAACTATTTACTAGCACAAACAATTTTAATTTTCACAAAAAATCTGCAAATTCAGGTAATAGCAATTTAAAAATACTGGTCCAATGTGAAATATAAATGTTTAAGGCATGGGCACGGAAAAGACTGGCAATTAATCCACAATTAGGTACAATTGCAAAATTTATATAAATTAAATGGTTTCCAATAT